GGTAACTTACTCTCGACTAAAAACGTTTCGTCAATTTAACGTCTAGGTGTTTTGTAAATAATTTTTCAAAATCTTTCTTCCCTCTCACTAGTCTACGAACGTTTAAGCAAAATATTTGTGCATTCAAATGTGAAATGGCATTCATGACAGTTCACTGAAGATTTCATCTTATCACATCTCGTTATGTTTGTTACTTGAAAATCATATTTTTGCTCTATTATATCTTTATATTTTTTTTATTGGTTATTTCAGCAATTATTTTATGTCTGGTACTTCTCTTTTGAACTGCATCATATCTTCTGATATGTTGCATGATCCTTCAGTCGTTTCGATTATTTCAGTCTTATATTGACAAATCGATGTTGATCCTTCTGAAATTTTCAGTTTACAAATATTTGACAATTTTCAAATATTTATTTAATATGAATAAAAAACAATACGAGTAAAACAGTAAAGTATCAGCATGAACCTATTATGGAACACCGTTTTCGTACCATGTTTCCATGTTACGTATTTAATGTCTCTAGTTTGAAACAGGCATTTCTCCCTCAATTTACAATACTTTCATACATATTCTTAAATAGAAGTATCGACTTGAAGACCGTAAAATATGTTTTTTTTCTATTTTATATTTGTTAATAAGAAACATATATACTTTAAACTGCATAGCATTAACATTATTAATTTAACTTAACCTTTTAGGCCCGACGCGCCACTATAGTGGCTTGCTCTAGTAGCCCATTCACTCATCGTTTGAACCAAATAATCGTCTTCATATGCATTGTTTCACGCTTCTTTTGTCTTCACATCGATTTACAATAGTGTACAGGGTGTCCCAAAACTGTCTCGCAATCCGGAAATGGCGGGTTGCTCGGATCATTTGAAGCAACTTCTTTCTTTACAAAAATTTTCTCCGAGGCACCGTTATCAAGTTATTAACGAAAAACAGTGACCAATAAGAATCGAGTACAGTTGGCGCGAGGCGGCCCAGCGCACGAAGTCCAGTTCCGCTCATTGGCTCGATCGCCTCGCGCCAGCTGAGCTAGGATTCGACCGCCTTGACCGCCGGCGCCGTTGGCTCGGTCGCCTCGCATCAGCTAAACTGGGATTCGACCGCTCGACCGCTGGCGCCGTTGGCTCGACCGGCTCGCGCCAGCTGAGCAGGGATTCGACCGCTCGACCGCTGGCGCCGTTGGCTCGACCGGCTCGCGCCAGCTGAGCAGGGATTCGACCGCTCGACCGCTGGCGCCGTTGGCTCGACCGGCTCGCGCCAGCTGAGCAGGGATTCGACCGCTCGACCGCTGGCGCCGTTGGCTCGACCGGCTCGCGCCAGCTGAGCAGGGATTCGACCGCTCGACCGCTGGCGCCGTTGGCTCGGCCACCTCGCGTCAGCCGTACTCGGTTCTTATTAGTCACTGTTTTTCGTTAATAACTCGTTAACGGTGCCTCGGAGAAAATTTTTGTAAAGGAAAAAGTTGCTTCAAATGGCCTGAGTAACCCGCCACTTTCGGATTGCGAGACATTTTTGGGACACCCTGTATATACAGACAGAATATACAGTATCAGACTCTATACAGTACATATCAGACTCTGCCGTCCAGAGAAATAGCCTCGCGCAGAATTCAGCTGTACCTAAAAGGTTAAGCAGTAATGTTATTTCGAGCATTTCTTGGTGCAACTTTTTTTTCTCCTCGCCTTCAACTGTGTTTACTTCAAAGACTTTACCTGTATCATTATTTATTGCTCTTCTTTTGCTTACCCGTATTGTTTTTTTATATAGAGTGGATCACCACATATTGCCATCTAGATTTACGTCATTATTAATTTCTTATCATACATAGGTTAATACTTTTTTGTAAATAATCTTAAGATGCATCAACTGATAAAAAATAAAAAATATATGATTCCATTTTAAAAAATGTTAACGACCTTCATATGTCCTCTACACGTCCATCCTCTATACGTCATCTGAAATTTTTTTTGTTACGCCTAATGATAACGATGTAAATCTAAATGATAACATGTGATGACCCATGCTGTATACTAACTACACACTTATAACGTAACAAAAAGAACTAGTTTTACTTTCGCTGTAAAAAAGGGGGTTAAGAAAACCACGCACGTGTTGCATGAACTGGTACAATTAATAACGACACTGTCTCTGCATATGAAACATAGGTGCTAGCTATTAAAACACCCATATTCAAATCAACATTTCTTTTTACAGCTGATTGTTACATAACAGTATTTGTGTGAGTGAATTTATAAAGAACAATGTTAAAAAATATCGATAATATTTCTACATCCACTTTCATATGCTATATCTATTTTCTATTGTATTATTTGTGCTATTGCTTCAAGAAGAGAGAACACAATTTTATAATAGATACTTGTACTTTAACAAGCAACATAGTAGGATACACTCCAATCTTCCTCTGCAAGTCCTTCAGAAAGCAATCTACAACAGCATAGGTCTCTGTGACAATTGAATAGCACTTAATTGTTTGTATAAAGCTTCCGTGAGCGTCAAATTGGAGAAATGTTTTGCTGTATCATTTCTCGTATGATTCGGCAAATCATCTTCCGGATAGAATGCGTTTCGACTGTTTTTCAGTGTACGCACTAGGCCGGTGGCGAACGCGAGAGGCTGAAGAGATCTTGGGAATCTAGAAGAAGGGTGAGGCTAGAGAAGCTAGGGAGGGGCAAGTTACTGGAAGCAAGCGCGAAGTGATTTCAGAGGGTCGAGATATTTCAAGCTCGAGAAATGGTGAAATAAAGCGGCCGCGTGTTGTGCTGTTTATGGCTCATTATTATGCTATATGGCGTGTCCTCGGAGGTACTGAGGTCCTTGTCGTAATGGAAATGTGAAGAGGGACGTCGCGGCGAAGTTACGAGGAAGAAAGATAAATGCTGGGATGAAAAGCACGGCGTTGTTGCGATAGTGAGAAGCAAACGAAGGTTTAACGGTGGCGAAGGAAACTGACAATGTGGACTAAGTTTATCCGAAGCGAAATTGAATGAAACGATCGAACGGAAAAATGTACGTGACGTGGATATCGAATGAAGCACGAATCTGCAAGGAATTCCCCATAGAATGACAAGTTTATTCTGAAATATATGTACACAAAAGCACAATACCAGAACACGAGGTGCGATCGACGTTCCAGTTAGGTTTAATCGAATATTTACAAATTGTCGCTGCCCATTATTTTCTCTTTGAATAGAAATAATTCAAGATCATTCTAACGTTATTAAACGCTCTTATTCTTCAATCCGAATTTTTCATGAAAGTACTTTCGAACACGAACGAGAGCTTGAGAAAATAATGGAGATCGTTTAAATAATTCCCTCTATAGATTTTTCTAATTTACAGAAGATTAAAAAGTCCAGAAATTATTCTGTACAAACTGCAGAGTCGTTATAAGTACACCATATTTAAAAATGCTGAGATTTACAAAGCCATAATCATTCAGAAAAGAAATCCGCCAAGCGGTTCACATTTCATACTTATATCGTAACTAAGTCGAAAATTAAAGAACGAATGATGCGAAGGCGTAGATGCGTAACTTTTCTTCCATTATCGCCTCGCTACCGCAAGATTGGGCAAAGAGAGCTGAAGAAGAAAATACTTCGCGACTCGGGGATCGAGCCATGCATATTTGCCAGCAGCTGGCGTAAAAAGTTCAAGATACTGTCGTCATAAATAGGGATGTAAGTACCCGCGGGACTAAGCAGACGAAACTCTTATTATTTTGCAGCATTATAAAGGGGGAAGGCGCCTCGACGTCGGCAACGCCACACCGGTGATTTCAATCTATTCTCGTGAAAATAATCTTACGAAAGCACGTAAATCTGATTTTCACACATTTTGTTCCCTAAGACTTTCGCATTTTAAGTTGCCCGCCTTACCATTTATTTTACCCATCTTCCCAGCTATCATAGATTAATCCGCATTTTCATCTGTTTCTCTCTCCATGAAACTGTTTAAAACTTCTCTTTACTAATCTCTATACAAATTAATTAGAAATATTCCTGTTCGTTAACAAAATTTCTATTCTTACAAGATGTGTGTCAGTTATAATATCATGTTAATATAATATTATAATAAATATGATATAATAAATTATTTTTGCAACAAACAATGTAAGATTTGATTTCGTTAAAAATGAACCAAATACATCATCTTGTTCATTCATCTATAATGTTTTAAGCTGTGAGCTTAAATTGAAGTAATCTGTGCCGCGGATAACGCTACATATTGCATTTGTTCTATATACAATATGATTATTGTATGGCAGAAACATGTTCCCAGGAAATTTACTACTATCTGAAAGATGTTTGTTCACGTATTTGGCTTAGAGTGTACGTAGAGTGTGTTTGTAACGTTTCTGTTTGCACCCTGACCTTGTGTTTAAATTACGTGAATCTGACACAAACGAAGCTATCGCGAATTGTGAACTAGTCAAACTTGGATAACCAAATTGAAAAAGTCATTGGTCAAAGACCATTGGTGTCGCCCGCAAATGTACGGTTAGCTGCGCAGAGATAATTTGCGGCGAACATAAAGTGGCGAAGGGTGTCGTTAAGGGCGCAGAAAGGAGGAAAGGTGCGGCAGACGTAACGCAGAACATAGATGGCTTAGTAATGGGAGCATAGGGGAACCATAATTCCATCGTACGTGCCTATCCATCGAGGGCGCATATGGGTAAGGGGTAGCTCTCGCGGGAAATGCGAGCGTATTAAGAGTCCCGATCTAGACGGATTTGATGGAGCGGCTGCTTCGAAATGGTTACCGACTCCAGTGTCATTTCAAGTTGCAATTCTCAGAAATATATCTGGCAAATCTATCTGTATCCGTCGTTTCCTTTTCCAATGATATCTGTAATAATTGGATAGTCGCGCGTTGAATTCAATTCCGTGAAAGTTTTACCGTGGAAAACTTCCGAGATAACTGTATGTTCTTCATGAAAAAATAACAGTTGCGTTTGTTTTTTTCTCAGATCCAAATTTCAAGGAACCAATTACCAACGTAACGGCGTCGGTGGGAAGGGAAGCAATTCTGGCATGTGTCGTTCAAGATCTGGCTGGATACAGAGTAAGTAGTGAAAAGTAACGATTTATGTGTTGGAATCGCTATATCAGGAAAGGGTGAGCTTATCATTTGTCTTCAATTATTTGTATCTGTTAATGGTATTGTTAGAATTTGGGAACATAGTGGTGTAATGAATGTAACACTTATGCTTCGATACGGATGAAGAGATTTGACAAAATGTTATGCATTTTATGCGAATCTTTATGTATTTTTGCTTATGGACGTTTTTAGAAAACGCTAAAATATAAAATTCGATATTCGGTATTTTATAAGATTTTTATTTATTTTGGATTGACAAGAAATATTGTTACTTAAAATGAAAATCCATTTCTAAATTCACAAATGGTCTAGAAAATATATGGTTTGATAAAAGGTTAAAGGAAGAAAGAAAATGGGGACATTAAAAAGATCAATCACATAATACTTTTCCAAATTTGATTTCTCAAACGCTATGATCATAATCTGCTGTTTCAACATTTATCGCTCTTATCACATATCTTAATGAATAACCTTACAAACTTGCAAGTAAACATTCACATTCTTGAGAAGTTTTAAATTTGGTAGCTAACAAAATTTCGTTTCCAACGGATACGATAATCCACAATAGAACAAAAGTGGACCATTTCCGTAACAGTAAATGAACTCTTATAATGCATGCGCACGTACGTAATGTAAACTTTTTTTTTATGTTTTAAGCGAATCTTGAATACATATTCATACATATGCGGAAATGAGTATTGCGTTTATATTGAAGTGATACTACTGCGAAAGTTCAAAGTAGGTAATTAGTATGGTTGAAGAGTGTCAAAATAAAAAACCTAATAGAGTAGAGGCCGCTTCTAAAATTATCTGTGACACAATTCAATCAACCTAAATTAAACTGACCCGCCAAATTTAGTAAAAAAATTATTCGAACCTCGAACGTATACCCAATTGTAACGATAAATAAAACTCAGTCTCGTAAAAATAGAATCTACGTCATCCGAATCTCCGATGCTTCAATTGTCTTTTACATAAATATGTGTTGCACATTTAAACTGTTCGATCTAAATCAATCCGCGTACAACAAGGATCTATTACAGAAATTGTTAAGAATTTAGACCAGCACTGTAACTAAGAAAATGTTCTATTGCCGAAACTTTTATGTCATCTTGATTCGTACCATCAACCGAGGTTCCACTGTACATCGATTTCAATTAGATATTTTCCAACGAAAACATTAATACATAATCCCGGGGCTATCCTCTTGATGCTTTAACTCGAGGTATTTCCGTTAGGTAAATTAACAGTCGGTTCAATGGTATTAAATATTCAAGACCTCATTTATAACATCCAGTGTTATTTCAGTTGATGGAATGCATAATGCAATATTGACTATTAACTTATATTGAAGTCTTTATGTATAGTTAATTGTAAGCCATGTGGTCGGTAATGACCTTCCAGTTTATGAGTCCTCACTGAAATAAATAAACTTATAAATAATAATAACAATAATAATAATAATAATAATAATAATAATAATAATAATAATTTTGTTAAATCAAAAACATTTAACTTACTTCTTCAGATTTGCGGTCAAGATAACCTCACACATTTTAAAACACGTTTTAATTTCACACATTTCATCTTTTAGGTGCGTTGGTCAGCTTCGAATTATTTCCTAAGATTTGACAAAATTTGACAAGATTCAATTTCTGGTCACACATTCTGGTCATACGTTCTAATTTAACACATTTCATTTTTTATGCGCGATGGTAAGGTATGTGCTTCCTTTGGAATTCCGTTAGATCTCGTAGGTAGAATTCGATCGGAAACACGTTCCCAAGATATTCTAAAGAGGAATCGAGTTTGAAACACACATAGAAATCTACGAGAACTGCAATTCCATCGAGCCGAACACTCTCGCCATTTGCGTTAACGATGAAGATATTCAAAGATCTGCAATTTATAGATCTCCATAAATCCGGATTGGCAAGATCATCCGATTGGAGTTAGGAAGATCGACGCGGCCTGTTTTCAAAAGGGCAAACACTCGAAGCTTATCGGATCCCATCGAGACCGCATTCTTACTCTTCCTGCCTTATTCTCTAATTAGCGGTTTCTGAGGAAACGCCGCGCCGCACCGTTCTACGGAACATTTTCGTTGAAGCCACTCCGGCTGATTCGTCAGGAACAGTACTACACATATAGACACAATAAAATTGACCAGTCCACTTCAGCCAGATATACGCTTCTTTCGCTTTCGTGTAATTTTACTAATTAATTAACTGATTCGGTCACGGACGCTGGAGACTCTTGAAACTCGAGATAGTTGGATATAAGGGAGGAAAGTGTAGCGGTGGAGGGGGAGGGCAGAAATGGGATGAAACAGAGAGAAATTCACTTAACTTTTTCGTGAGCGGTTAACGAGGTCAACGGGTTAAACAACCTTACTGGATGTCCATGCTCTAGATTTCTTTTTGCTTCGCCAGTACTTTCAGTAATATCTATCCGCGCAGAGAAAGCTTCAATTACGTTTTAAAATATCAGTAGCTGGTTTTAAGTAATGGACTTCAATTAAAGCGAGATAAAATGTCAAGAAACCGTGGAAATCTATCAAAGAGTCCTTGCCCTCGAACAATAAGATTCTTTTACCTGGATGAGAACACTAGACCGACGGGAAAAATTACTCACCGTAAGCCGTCCTCGTTAAAAAATGACAGCGCTTTTTAGTGTAAAACGTTAATTGCCTTTATTTTAAAACAGAGAAAATTCCTTTTAAGGAAACCTCGTCGCGTAAGAAAAACTGCAACGAAAGATTATGAAAGTTTGACCTCCTTGGCAGACATTAAACAGAACAATGAAAATGTTATAAAAGAAATTCATTGAATTTAAAGGAACTATTGTGGTGTGATGTACGAACAAAATTCTGTTCGGCATCTTTTCAGGAAATCCTGTTTTGTACAGGTTCTGATCGCAGATTTTGTTTCTATAAATATTACGTTTCTGTATACCAAACGAAATTACACGATATTCGTATTGTCCTCATAAAATTCAATTTCGAATAGATGCAAAATATGATGAAATTATTTCAAGATTTNATAAATAAACTTATAAATAATAATAACAATAATAATAATAATAATAATAATAATAATAATAATAATAATTTTGTTAAATCAAAAACATTTAACTTACTTCTTCAGATTTGCGGTCAAGATAACCTCACACATTTTAAAACACGTTTTAATTTCACACATTTCATCTTTTAGGTGCGTTGGTCAGCTTCGAATTATTTCCTAAGATTTGACAAAATTTGACAAGATTCAATTTCTGGTCACACATTCTGGTCATACGTTCTAATTTAACACATTTCATTTTTTATGCGCGATGGTAAGGTATGTGCTTCCTTTGGAATTCCGTTAGATCTCGTAGGTAGAATTCGATCGGAAACACGTTCCCAAGATATTCTAAAGAGGAATCGAGTTTGAAACACACATAGAAATCTACGAGAACTGCAATTCCATCGAGCCGAACACTCTCGCCATTTGCGTTAACGATGAAGATATTCAAAGATCTGCAATTTATAGATCTCCATAAATCCGGATTGGCAAGATCATCCGATTGGAGTTAGGAAGATCGACGCGGCCTGTTTTCAAAAGGGCAAACACTCGAAGCTTATCGGATCCCATCGAGACCGCATTCTTACTCTTCCTGCCTTATTCTCTAATTAGCGGTTTCTGAGGAAACGCCGCGCCGCACCGTTCTACGGAACATTTTCGTTGAAGCCACTCCGGCTGATTCGTCAGGAACAGTACTACACATATAGACACAATAAAATTGACCAGTCCACTTCAGCCAGATATACGCTTCTTTCGCTTTCGTGTAATTTTACTAATTAATTAACTGATTCGGTCACGGACGCTGGAGACTCTTGAAACTCGAGATAGTTGGATATAAGGGAGGAAAGTGTAGCGGTGGAGGGGGAGGGCAGAAATGGGATGAAACAGAGAGAAATTCACTTAACTTTTTCGTGAGCGGTTAACGAGGTCAACGGGTTAAACAACCTTACTGGATGTCCATGCTCTAGATTTCTTTTTGCTTCGCCAGTACTTTCAGTAATATCTATCCGCGCAGAGAAAGCTTCAATTACGTTTTAAAATATCAGTAGCTGGTTTTAAGTAATGGACTTCAATTAAAGCGAGATAAAATGTCAAGAAACCGTGGAAATCTATCAAAGAGTCCTTGCCCTCGAACAATAAGATTCTTTTACCTGGATGAGAACACTAGACCGACGGGAAAAATTACTCACCGTAAGCCGTCCTCGTTAAAAAATGACAGCGCTTTTTAGTGTAAAACGTTAATTGCCTTTATTTTAAAACAGAGAAAATTCCTTTTAAGGAAACCTCGTCGCGTAAGAAAAACTGCAACGAAAGATTATGAAAGTTTGACCTCCTTGGCAGACATTAAACAGAACAATGAAAATGTTATAAAAGAAATTCATTGAATTTAAAGGAACTATTGTGGTGTGATGTACGAACAAAATTCTGTTCGGCATCTTTTCAGGAAATCCTGTTTTGTACAGGTTCTGATCGCAGATTTTGTTTCTATAAATATTACGTTTCTGTATACCAAACGAAATTACACGATATTCGTATTGTCCTCATAAAATTCAATTTCGAATAGATGCAAAATATGATGAAATTATTTCAAGATTTCTAATAATCAGTTTTATTAACTTATTGATTACTTTCCTTAACAAATCAAGACATTCTTATTATTTTTGACAAGATCTTTTACGATCGAACTAGAAACGACAAGTTTCCAAAATATTCAAACGTATTACTTTCAGCAAATTTAGCATTTTATTATAACAGACGTACCTTTTGCGCCAGATGCTTTGAAGCTGACTAATATGATCTCCAGCTGTTCCAGCTAATTTCACATATTCTACGAAATCTCCATTTTCTCGTTCCACATTTATATATAAGACCGTTAAATTCATGGTACCGAACGTATAACGA